GCGGTCATCCCGCCGCGGCCGTCCGGGGGCGCTGGGCGAGCCGGGGCTACCCTCCAGAAACGCGGGAGGCGACTCCTTCGCGCCGGGGAAGGGCTCTCCGAGCTCCCGGGTGGGACTCTCCTGGAGGGACCAGAGAATCACGTGGCTCAGGCCAGGAGCCGCAGCAACTCTCACCCTCCCCATGCACCTCGTGCCGGCTATCCACCTGGTCAAAGAGGTAGACGGTGACATCGTCGAAGAAGGACACAGCTTTCTTCTTGCGCTCCAGGTCTTCGCAGAAGGCCTCTGACAGTAGGCTGGGCATCTTGAGCAGGCTGCGCAGGTTGCGCGCGCTCTGGCTCTCAGCCACCACCACTGGCACAGCTGGGGACTCGTCCTCACTGTCCTCGCTGGGCTCCTGGATGCTGTAGCAGCGGAGCTCTTCGTCCGACTCGTCGCTGTCTTCACTGTCCTCCTCCTCCTCCTCCGACCGGCCCTCCGATGCCCCAACATGGTCAGGCAGTGCCAAGCAGAGCGGGGTTCTGGAGGTGCCCGAGCCCCCTGTCCGCCCTTGTGGGGACCTCCCTGGCAGTCCTGGGGTCCTCTGAAGCTCTGCTCCTTCACCTTCTGAGCTCAGTGGGACTGGGGTCAGCAGGAAAAATTTGGAGTGGCTGTTACTGGGCACGGTCTGCACATCTGATGGACCTTTGGACCCAGGAGGCTCTGCCTTGGGATTACTGGAGCAGGCATCTGGCTCCTCCGCAGGTGAAAGCGCCTCCTGGTGGCCAGTGCCCGGTGCCTCCTGGAGCACCCCAGGCTGGGGAGAAGCCTGTACAGATGGCCCAGGACCCTGTGGACTCTTAAGGTCTGGCTCTAGCCCCAGGGCCTGGGCCTCACTGCACTTCTGGGGGCCCACAGAGGGCTCAGACTCAGCATCCAGGTCTGAGAAGTACGCAGAGTCTCTGTAGGGGTTCTTCTCGCTGAGGCCTCCCAGGGAAGCCGAGAGCTGCACATCAGGCCCTCCACTCCCCCCTTCGGAGGCCAGCTCCCCAAAGGCCCCAGGATCACTCGACTCATGGGCCTCCTTGAGCACAAACTCAGGGGACTCATAGTTCTCAGTGTCATAGCCACTGTCCAGGGCCCGGGGCTGCCCAGCAGGGATGCCAGCGGCTGATGGGCTGGAGACCTCACAGCCACCATCACTGGCCGAGGACGGGATGTCCAGAGAGTCCAGGGAGTCGGGGGTCCCCACCTGCGTCTGCGAAGATCGGAAGGCTGGCACTACACCTGGCCTCTCAGCCTGAGGGCCACCACTAGACAAGTCAGTAAAGACACCCAAAGTGGCTTCCTCCTCACCACGGGGTGCCTTCTGGGCGGCAGAGTTACTGCTGCTGTCCAGAGTTGGGACTGGCTTGAGAACTGTCACCTGGCCACTGGTAGCAGGTGTGGGTGAGGCAGGCAGGGCATCAGGGGCGCTGGCCTCCTCTGAAGGAAGTGGGGCTCCCTCGTGGGATGGGGAGGGGATGGAAGGAAGAGGCAGTTGGGGTCCAGCAGAGCCCTCAGCCTCCAGGGCAAGCTTGGGTTCTGCCTGAGGGTTGTCACCCCCATTTACAGCAGTCTCTGTGCAGGGGGATGTGACCTGGCATGGATGGGGTGGGCTGATGCATCCACCTGGCTCCTGGCCCAGGGAGGCTGTCTGTGGCCCAAGCAGAGGCTCCCTGGGGTCCTCCTGGTCCAGGGGTTGGCCCAGCTCAGGGGAGGCTCGTGGGGTCTGGTTTGGGCTGGGGCAGTGGTCTGCGCAGCTGCCCACATAGCCTGGGTCCCAGGAATCTGGGTCACGGCTGCCACTGTTGTTGTTGGCTGACACGTTGGAGCTCCAGTGTCCACGCTGGGCAGCCCTTTGTGCCTCAGCCTCCCCCAGCTCCTCCCCACCAGGGGATGGCTGGGCCCTGGAGCTCGCCGAGGGGGATGCCCCCAGTGGGTCCTGGAAGAATGGAGGGCAAAAAGCGGATACACCCCAGTCTGCATCCTCTGCTAGCATGGAGGGCCCAGGAGAGAGTGAACGTGACGGGGAGGGCGGATCCCCAGCTCGGCTGCTGTTCTGGTAGCGGCTGCAGCGGCCCCTGGGGCCATCGGCTGGTGGTGCGTGGCCCAGCAGCGGCTCCATGGCCAGCGAGGCAGCGGTGCTACCGTCGGAGTCGTCGTCTTGGTCCGCAGCAGCGGGGGGGCTGGGCGCACAGTCAGAACAATCGGGATCGTGGCCCGCGGCAGGCGCGGCCTCCTCCAGGCGAATGAAGTACTCGCTGCCCAGAGAGGGGCTGTGCGCGCTGAGCACGGGCACCACGCCTGGCGGCGCTCCGTCGGGGGCACACAGCTCCTGCAGGCGCGCGGCGCGGCCCGGGCTCGGAGCGCCCCCCGTCGGCCGGAAGGCGTCGGCGCCGCGACCTGCCTCCCATTTGTACTCAAAGTTGAGGCCGCGGCTGGTCTCGGTCACTGTCAGCACGTCGTCGCCGTCCGCGTGGAAGCCGTCGCCTGCGAACTGCTCCAGTAGCGGGAAGGACGAGGTGGCAGCCAGCTCTGGGGCGCCGCTCAGCGCGGGGCCCGCTGCGCCCATCCCTGGGCCCACGCCGCCGCCGCCTGGCCGCAGTGAGCGCCAGCGCCGCTCAAACTCCTCCTCGGCTTCCGTGGTGCCCTTAGCGCACAGGTAGGACAGCAGCAGATGCACCTCCTCGGCCGTGGGCCGCTGCTCCGGCTGCAGCCAGCAGAACTGCATCACCTCGTACCTGCCGGGAGGCCCCATGGGTGGACCTGGCCATGCCAGCCCCCCACGGGGAAGTTGTTCCCCTGACTTCAGCTACTTGAGGGCAGTAAAGGGGTCTCCCACTTACTTCCCCCACACCCCAGTCCCCCAAGAAGCCGGCAGCCTGAGAGCAGATCCCCCTTTCCTGATCACAGGTGTGCAGAGGCCCCAGAGAGGGCAGAGGCTGGGGCCAGGGAGACCTTGAACCCAGCAGTTGTACTGAGCCACCTCTACTCTGGGACTTAGAGCATCCCCCACTTCTGAGACTTCCTGTGCAGGGATGGTGGGGTCCTCACCAGCGGTCAGACAAGGTCAGCTGCAACTGGGGCTTGGGTAACTTGAGCTGCTGCTCCCGGACAGCATAAGCCAGCACCTGCCGGTCTGAGTGGTGGGGGTAAGGCTGTGCACCCAACTCGAAGAGCTCCCAGATGGTCACACCCAGGGACCTGTAGGGCCAACCACTGTGAGATGGGGCTGGGCATGCCCCTACAGGACTCAGGGACACCTAGGGCAGCTCCATCATCATGCCAGCCACTACACAGCTGCTCCCACCCCACCCCCACCAAGAAGAGATCATGGTCACCCTGGCCAGGACGAGTCCAGCCCCAGGATGCCTAGTTAGTAAAAGCCAGACTGTAAAACACCCCTGTGGGGCTGAGGGAACAAGCTGGGGCGCCAGGTGCAGGTGGGGCTGGGAGAGAGCAACGGGGGGCTCTTTCCCGAGGGCCATGGCTTCACCTGGCTCTGGGGAGTGGAGGACAGAGTTACTGTGGCGATGGAGAAGTTACTGACCTTGGCCAGAGCTCTGTGCCTGGGGACCCTAGCCAGAGTGCAGTGGGTTGGGCACACTTGAGAGGGACACCTGGACAGAGAACTGAAGACAGGGAGAGGGGGTGGAGCCATGATGGGGGCATGGTTCAGAGGCCTAGGGGAGGCCCCTAAAAGTTCAGGAAAGGTGGCTGGTCCAGGGGTGTGGGCTCTGACTGTCACCACAGAGGCTGGTCCAGCACCTCTGTGGCGGGAGGCAGCCCCAGAACTGTGAAAGCCGGCACTCTCCAGGTCACCAGAGCAGCTCTGCCCTGTCCCTCTGAAGGCTGCTGAGCCAGGATGAAAAGAGTGGCCACTGCCCAGCTGGGCACTGGGGCTCAGAATGGCGACGTCCAGGAGGCAGTCCTGGGGGACCCCCAGCACCCCTCCCAATCTGCTTCTCCGCCCAGCATGGCCTGACCACCACTTGCCCAAAGGCAGCGAGCAGCCCACCCCCACCTCCCCAGGGGCACAGGTGTGATCCAGGCCCACACCCCACAGGACAACCCACGCTGCTGCTTGTAGCGGCATTTTGAAACTCCGTGTGCACTCTGACTGTTATTGTTGGATGTCAGCCCAGTAGATCCTGGGAGGCCCAGAGTCAGGGAAGTCCCTGCACCAGCATGGGGTCCCCAGCAACTACACCTGCTCAGTCCACTAGCATTTGCAAAAGCAGGTGGGCACCAGCTCTCAATGACCTCCTGAGGCCAGTATGGCAGACACAAGATGCTATCTCACACTAGACTCTCCTGCAGTGGCCAGCCTGCATCTCACCATAAAAGGCCAGGGGATGGCTGGATGGCTGGTGGGGTGACCCTTCAGGCCTGCAAACCTTGTGTCCTTTCCATATATATATATTTTTTTTTTTAATTGGGGATTTAACAGGGTTCACTCTACCACTGAGCCTGGTCCTTTTTTAAAAGATAGGATTTTTCGGGGGGAGCTGGGGTTGTGGCTCAGTGGTAGAGCGCTTGCCTAGCACTCGTGAGGCACTGGGTTCGATCCCCATCACCACATAAAAAAACAAAATGAACAAAATAAAGTTATTGTGTCCATCTACAAATAAAATTAAAAAAAAAAAAAAAAAGACAGGACCTCTCCCTAGATGGCTGAGGGTCTTCCTAAGTTGCCAAGACTAGTCTTGAATTTGCTATCCTCCTGCCTCAGCTTCCTGAGTTGCTGGGGTAGCAGGCACACATCACCGCACCCCAGGCAAACCCTTCATTCTTGCTAGAGGCTCCACTCAAGCACCAGGCAGGCCCGAGGCTGAGCTGCAGCAAGGGGAGGTCAGTCCTCCCGAGACGCCCTCTGTGCTGGGGACTGGCACTCACCACACATTGCTGGTCTTGGTCTGATCTACCACGAGCAGGTTGCCATGCACCTCATCCACCAGCTCCGGTGCGATCCAGCGCAGCGGCACCCACAGCTGGTCAGCGGTCACGAAGTAGTCTTCCTGTGGGCCCACGGGGACGGGTGAGCCCTGCCAGACGCAGCCCCCTGCAGGCCCCGCCCACCCTGACTTACCCTGTACTTGCAGTGAGACAGGCCGTAGTCGCCAATCTTTACCGCCAGGTCAGCTGTGAGCAGGCAGCTTCGCAGGGCCAGGTCGCTGCGGGGTGGGAGGCAGGGTCAGCCGGGTGTGCCAGGCTAGGGGCCTTGAGCACTGAGGGTCCTCTGCCCACAGCTGGACAGCTGGTCACCCAAGGTGTCCTGGGCTCCACCCAGCAGTAGGCAGGAAGAGGCGTCTGAGAGGTTGGCCCCAGCCCTGGGCACTCTGGAAAGCCTGCGTGGACAGGGCCTCTAAACTGACAACGCAGATGGAGAAAACGAGGCCCAGAGAGGGCCAGGACATGCCTAAGGGTCCCCAGTGAAGGCACTGCCAGGCCAGCACTAGCACACCAAACCCCAGCCCCTCCTACCCCTCTGGGGTACCTCTGCTGGCCTGGCCTGCAGTGGACCTGAGGCCACAGCAAGCCCTGCTGTGGGTCTGCGGCTTTCCTCCCAGGGCCATGTTCCCTCTGACCTGTGCCACATCACCACTCTAGCTCTCTGGGAGGCGAGAATCCACGGGGAACTGAGGCCCGGAGTGTCCCGGGGGTCCTACCAGTGGCCAGAGCCCATGTTTCAGACCCTGGTCCTGCCCTGCCACACAGGGTGGGAGCTGAGGCCCCAGGGTGGGGTGGAGCATGCAGGTGACCCAGAGTGACCTCCAACCCAGTGGCTGGCTCTGGTGGAGTTTTACCCTCCTGCCTGGCTGGAGGGTGTGTGAGGGACTGGGTTCCATCCCAGTGTGTGTCCAGGGACACGCAGTACAAGGTGGGCTGCACCCTCCATATTGCAGCTGTGCCAAGGACTCAGGTGGGGATGGGGCAGCTCCAGCCTGTCCCTACCCCAGGAGCCCTGTGTCTGTGTGCCAGGGGACAGCTGCAGAGGAGCCGGGTGTCCTGGGCCACAGCTGTGTGCCCATGCCTGGGGTGGGGTAGCAGGGCGGGTGCGCAGGGGTCAGGAAGCTGGCAGCTGCCCTCTTCAACAAAATCACTGATGCTGGAGTTGCCTGTGTCACCACTCAGCACCAGGATATTGTTGGGGAGGACGGCCCATGCGGCGTCCAGGGCTGGCAGGGGCCACTTGTCCATCACCACTTCTTCCAGCACGTCCCCTCAGGCTGGGGGGACATCCTGGCCTGTCTTTCTGACTGCTGAGGTAGGACAGAGCCTTCCCGCTGCTGGGGGCCAGCTAAGCCCTTCCTTTTTGCCTTGGGGGAGACAGGGCAGGGCTGATGCGGGGTTTAAAAAGTCTGTAACCCTCCCGTGGTCACTATTCAAAGTGTTAGAGGTTGCCCAGTGAGTCCTCCCAAGGCCCCAGGAGGTGGAACCAGGTGCCCTTTCTGCAGGGCACACAGGCGGTGGGCACAGAGGAAACCCATCCAAGGACCAGCCCCACCTGCCCCTCACCTGTGCACATAGTTGTTGCGATGCAGGTGCAGGACACCGCAGGCTACCTCACAGGCCATGCGCTGCAAGGTCAGGGGGTCGGGCGCCATGGACTCGGGCACCCGGCAGCTCCGCAGGTAGCCCTTGAGATCCCCCTGTCAAGAGGAGCACAGAGCCGCCTGCCAGCTGGGGAGTGGCTGCCAGTGCAGGCTGCCGCCCTGCTCCAGAGCCCTGCTGCCCACCCTCCCCACCCACCTGCTGGGTTGGCAGGTCTGACCCTTGAGCCGGGGCTGCCCACCAGCCACCAGGCAGCGGCTGCCCAGAGGAGCCCAGCACTGCCCCACAGCAGCCGTCGCTCGGCACCAAGCTGTTTCTGGAGAGGACTTTGTGTCCCAGAGATGGGCCAACAGGAATGACCCACAGGTGGCCCTTCAGAGTGCTTTCTCTAAACTGGCCCTGTGGGGTCTCTAGGGCCATATCCCTTTGGAGAGTCAAAAACACGAGCCTGAATGGATTTGTTGACCACCACATGAGCCAGGAGGAACGGGGGCTGGTGGCCAGAGGATGGGCCGCGGGCCCTGAGCGCAGCACAGAGCTGCTCCTGGGAGCCCAGGTGCCAGGAGTCCAGACCCAGGGGTGAGGGCCAGTGTCCTGCCGGATGCCAGCTCTGCCACAGGCAGCCTCAGTGCGGGCACACCTCAGCTCGGTGCTGGAGCTGTGAGCATGCACAGGGGCCCAAAGGGGACAGTCTGCAGGCAGGGACGCAGAGTCTGCCCTGGACGGTGGCCAGTCCCAGGCTCTCATGATCAAAACTGAGGGAAGTGCCGCGAGCCCCGCGGCCGCTAGGACACCTTGAGCTCAACCGCCACCCAGGCTGCTCCCAGGCAGACGGGAGACCCCTGGGGCACAGGGGGCCTTAGCCCCAGGCCCACTTTGTCCTGAGCCCACAGCCATGCCCAGTGCTGGCAGGTCACCTCTGTGTGCAAGCTGCCTCTGGACGGTGGTTCAGCAGGGCCTCCTGGGACTCCACCGTAGGGGGTGTGAGGCCTGTGAGGCCGAGGCAGGGCAAGAGAGGACCCCACTGAGCCCAGCCCCCACCCCCGCAGCAGAGGGCTGGGGATGGGCGGCCCCTCTCTCCACAGCCACTCACCAGCGGGCAGAGCTCCATCACCAGCAGGTAGGGCGTCACCTCAGCGCACTGGGCCAGGCACTGGAGCAGGTTGCTGTGCTGCAAGGCCCTGCAAGAGCCCACAGGAGCCCTGAGGCGCGGGCGGGGCTGCAGCTGCTCCTGCACAGGCCTCCTGCTCCCACCACCCCAGCCCTGGGCCCTGGGCCACCCACCTGTAGGGCTGCGCCTCCTCCAGGAACTGCATCTGCTCCTGCACGCTGGCACTGGCCTTCAGCTCCTTCACCACCACCTGGGTGCTGCTGACACCCGAGTGCACCTCGCCCAGGAACACCTGTCAGGCAGGCCGGTCACCCTCCCCTCCCAGAGCAGCTCAGGCCTCGGAGAAGTCCTGCCACCCTGAGCCTGGCTCTGCTCCTTCGCAGGATGAGCTTGGGAACCTTCTATGCCTGTGTCTATTCCCCAGGCCCTGGCTCTCGGGCTCGGGCTCCAGCGTCCAGGCAGAGGGTGGGGTGGGGGAGCTGGGGCCACAGGACTGCTCCCCCTCCCCCAGCAGCCCCTGCCCCCACCCCCGCCAGTGAGTGCGCTCACCTTCCCAAACCAGCCGTGGCCGATCTCCTTCAGGTACAGGAGGCTGTGCCGACCCAGGTCCGTGGACTTGAGCAGCTGCACTGTAAGGGCAGGGGACTCAGGACCCCTCCACCTCCTCCACCTCCCGTCCTCACCTTGCCCCTCCAGGCCCGTCCCCACAAAAGACACCGGCCATACCTGGGGGCTGCCATCAGGGGCCAAGGTCTCTGAGGAGCAGGGCACCTGCTGCCCGGGAGAGCCAGGGTTCCAGCTCCATCCGGGCATCTCCAGGTAGGCCTGGGAAGGGCTGCCTGAAGCCACCAGGACCAACCAGGCCAGAGACAACCGGCCCCGAGCTGGACCCACTGCCTGGGCAACACGGAGCCGGCCGTGTGGCTGGGGCCAGAGCTCACGCCGAGGCCTGGGGAGGCACCAGACGCCCGCCCCACCCTGCCGCAGGCTGGCATCCGTCACCCAGCACACCAAAGGCTCCTTTGTTGGGGGCTGCTTGGCACAGCCCCGTACGGGACACACTGGGCCCATTCTCCCTGAAGGCCAGGCTGGGTGAGGTCAGCAGGCAGGAAGGGTCAGTGTGGGTCCGGGAAGAAGGGGCCAGGGCTAGCTGCACCCACTCATGCCCCAACAGATTCCCCAAATTCTGCTCCCACGCCAGCATCCTGGAGGGCAGGGCCTGAGACCAGCTGCCAGCAGAGCCCAGGGCCGCAGGGAATGTTGGCTTGAGGCAGACATTGGGGCGCGGTCCTTGGTCCCTGTGCCTGGGACTTTTCACCTGCAGCCCAGCCTGTCTGGACACTCCCTCCCACTTTGAGGCCTCAGGAGCTCCTTGTCCCTGTGCAAGCTCAAGGGTCCTGGCCGTGGCCACAGAGGCAGGAGGAGCAGGGTGGAGGGCAGGCCTGAGCCATCCTCCCCTGTCGTCCTGAGACGGGGGACGCTGGATAGTCACGTTTCCATTCCCAGACCCAACCAATCCCAAGTCTCTCCCCTCTGTGGAAGCAGAGTGCTCCCAGGGGGTCCCTGTTCCTCTCTGTGCAGGGCTCAGGAACCCCATGGTATCCAGGAGGGCCGGGTCCCATGCAGCCCACCCACCTGCCCTTTAGGAGTGCTAGGGAGCCACAGGCCTTCAGGCCAGCGGGCAGATGTGCTCCTAACGGAGCCTCGCGCCTGGACTCCTATCTGAGCAGTGACCTCTGCTCCAGGAGACGGGGGGCAGGAGGACGGCATGGAGTCTGAGGCCCAGGCTGCAGGCCTGCTGGAGGCCCGCCCTAGGTCTGCTCTGCAGGCCCAGACCCAGCCTGGGAGGAAGGGAGGCCTGCGAGGAGGCCCAAGGGAAGGCCAGCAGGGCACAGCCCAGGGCAGGTGGTCGGCTCCTCACCCCCAGAAACACACCTCTGTGCCCACAGAGCCCCCCTGGGACCGGTAGGGCTTCCTGACCTGACATCCCTTCCCTCAGTGTTCCCAGAGGTCTTGGGGGTGGGCAGCCAGGGGACAGCCCATGGCCAGAAGTTCCAGGCAGAGGGGCCTGAAACCCGACGCCAGGGAGGTGGCTGGAGGCCATGGACCCCATCCCTGCCCAGGACAGAACCCGGGCTCCAGGGCCTCTGCCATCTACCATCACCTTGGGTCCAGGTCCCATGACTGCTCCTGGGTGGTCAACAAGGGCGACTGGCCCAGGATGGGGGCAAAGAGGGAACATGCACCATCCCAGCCCAAGAGAGGCACAAGAAAAGGCCCTGCCTGACCTGCACCCTCCCACCCTCTCCCCCCGCCCACTCCAGGCCTGAGTGAAAGGCCGTCCTTGGCCCCACGCCCACAGCCCCACGAGAGCCCCTTGCCCGGGTGCAGGCTCCACCTAGCACGCACCGTGGAGCCCAGGTTCCTGCAAGGTAGAGGCCCAAGGATGTAGGAATCTGGGGTCAAGCGTTCTGGGGACAGCAGAGAAGGACGGCCATCCCAGGACCAGAGAGCCCAGCCACCTGGCCTGTGTCACCAACCCTTTGCATAGCAACCCCCAGATGTGGAAGTGGCAGGCAGGGCTGTCCCCAAACCTGCGGACAACTGGTCCCCAGGGCCAGAAGGTTGCATGCACCCTGGGCCGACACTCTGCATGTGGCCCTCTGTGTCCCCACCCCTGCAGCTGGGTGCTCAGGCTTCCCCAGAGGACCTGTGTCCAACACTAGGACACAGGTGAGAGAGGGTGGAAGCCTGGCCCTTCCCTACCTGTCCCACTCACCTGAGCGGCCGGGCTGCTTGGCCATGGGCAGGGAGACCTCGGTGAGGGGCAGGACGTATACATCAGGCCCGTTCTGCGCTGCTGCGGCCGGGGAGCCCTGCGCTGAGCTGTGGGCCACACACTCGTCCCCCTCGGCATTCTCAAACTCCTGTGGGCCGGCAGCACGTGCCATGAGCTGGGCTCCAGGAGGGTCAGAGCAGAGGGTGCAGCAGGGCTCTGGGAGGCCCTCTCCCTGGAGCCAGGTGGAGTGGGGGTGGGGCACCTGAGCCCCAGTTGGTGCCCCCCAGGCCCTGGCTGGCTCCTTCCCATCTCCTCCTGCAGAGCCCTGCTCCTCGCCCCCTGCCTCCCGGAGCCCTGGAGGGACCCAAGGCAAAGCCAAAGCCCCCGCATCCAGCCTCCATGAAGTGACCGTGAGCCCCGGCCACCCGGACCCCACCTCTGCTTGAAGAAGGGGCTGAAGGCAGAGTCCAAGGGAGAGAGGAGGCCGTACTGAGGCCAGCTGCCCTGGCCATCCAGAGTCAGACCCCAACACCTCTCAGCCAGCCCTACCCAGAAGCCCCTCACCCTGGGTCCTGCCAGGCGTCCTCTCTGCCTTGGGGCAGCCTTGGAGATAGGGAACACATCATCCCCAACCTGCCACCAAAGTCATCTGGGAGAAGCACCTAGGAGCCCCGCGTCCCTGGCCAGACAAGGAGCAACGAGTCTGCCAACCTTCACCCCAGGGGCCATCCGGGCCCCCTGCCCCTTGCAGACAGGCGGCCTCTGGCCTTCACCTGCCGCAGGCTCCCAGGGCCTGACACTGGGCAGCACCAGGCAGCCACTCCTGGCCAGGGGCTATTTTGAAATGCAGCTGCCCCAGCTGTGAGGGAGGACCCCCCCAGGCCAGGTCCAGAGCACAGCGCAGTCCCTGGGCGCCTCCCAGGCTGGATTTAAAACAAGCGCAGGGTCCAGTCTGTCCCAGCCACACTGTCCCCCCACCTCCGGCAACCCCCAGTGCCCAGTGGGAAAAGACGAGTGGGATGGAGGGACTTCTGAGAAGCTGAAGCCTGGCTACCCACTCAGGACAGTGCCCTGTGGACAGACAGCTGGACGAGGGGAGAGGCCCGGCCTCCTTGCCCCCCGGACCCCCGAGTTCCTGGGTCTCAGTGCTGGCTGGGCTCTGTCAGTGTCCCTGTGGACAGTCAGGTCTGCCCTCAGATACAGAGCCACTTAGGGACAGGACGGGGGCTGGAGCCTGTGGAAACCCCCTCTCCAGGGCCGGGAGACCACCCCAGGACTCCGCGGCCCTCTAACTCCCACGCCTCTGCAGGTGCCTGCTTCTCACTCAGGTGAGCACTGGCCGCAGTCCGTTACCTGCCCGAGTGGCCTGGAGGCCCGCGGGGTCCTGCCAGAGCAGCGGGTGATCAGGTAGCACAGAGTGAGCATGGGGGCTGCCCAGCACGGCTCCAGAGGGGAGCTGCCAGGGAGCCCGCTACGGAGGACGGCCCTCCCACCAAGGCACGCTGGTGCTGGAATGTTCCGGGCACCATGTGTCCAAGGAGGTGAGGAGGGCATGGGCAGGAGGGGGCTGCCAGCCTGTGTGAGGCCTTGTTCTCCAGGGCCCCGAGGAGGGGCGGCACACAATGGCCCGTAAGTTCCACCCCGCCCCCACCCTGCCCACGCGGCCTTGAGGCTCTGGCCTCAGGATCCTCCCGACACCCAGCCTGGCCTGGGCCCGCCTGCCATGTCCCTGGGGGACGGGGCACCTGGGCAGGAGCCCTGCCGCTCGGACCCCCAGCTCCCTGCTGATGCGGCTCCCTGGGCTCTGGGCAGGTGAGCCGGCCAGCAAATGTCGGCTTTGGGAGAGGGAAGGCCACGCTCCTGCTGCTCCCCTGCCAGGGGGCCAGAGGGACAGGGACGGGCTTGCGTGACATGGCTTCTGGGGCTTCTGGGGCAAGGAAGGTGCTGGGACTCCAAAATGGGGCGACCGAGGCTGGGTGGGGGTCACCTGGTGGGAAGGGGCACAGCGTGGGCCACAGGGGCCCTGTCCACCCTGCCGTCTCCACGCACTGGAATCTGTGGCTGGACTCCCAGTGTGGGCGCCAGAGTGGCCAGGCCTTGCTGGGAATGTGCTGATGGGCAGAATCGGGGTCACTGCCCCCCACCCAGGGCGGGGCCTCAGCTCAGGGCTCGGTCCCCGCCTTCCACCAGTTGTCCCTGATCCAAGCTTCAGCAGGGCCAGGTGGGCGTGGGGGCTTGCAGAGTGGGGGACAGCACCAAGGGACGACCCTCAGCAACTGTCCGTGGAGGGTGGCCTCAGCTCAGGAGTCCTGCACCCAAGGGCTAACTGGACCCTCAGCAGACGCTCCAGAGGAGTGACGGTGGCCGTCAGTGACAGCAGGGCCCTGGCTCTCAGAGTCTGCACTCCGTGTCCCCAGGGGCAGAGATACCCAAACCGAGGGACGGCACAGGGCAGTCGGGGCCAGGGGGCACAGCAGGGGACTGGGGACGCCCACGGGAACAGCTTCTCAGGTCACGCTCAGCCATCCCGAGCATCCCCAGAGCCGTGGGGAGGCGGCGAGTCAGGCCCCAGCCCAGGGATCAGAAGGGTCCCCAGTGGTCCCAGGTGGCCCCAGCCACGGCCCCAGCAGCCACCTGGGGGGCCCAGGAAGGAAGAGAACTCAGGCCAGGCCCTCCAGGTCCCAGGGACAGCCCTGTGGACCCCAGCCCTCACCTTGAACCCAATGCCACCCTTCTTGCAGCACAAGCAGGCCAGCATGAGGACAATGACAGTGAAGAGTCCCGAGAAGGACACAGCCACCACAGCAAGGGACGATGACCAGGAGAGCTCACTGAGCGGGGCTCCGTCTGTGGAGAGAGGAGACTGTGGGGCAGCCCAGGCCCAAGGCCCACGCCCACCGACCCACCCAGCTTCTCAGCCCACCCTGGACCTGCTGCAGCTGGGCTGAGCCTCAGCCCCCGATTCCTTGCCCCAAGGCCCACCCGAGACCCTCGCCTCCGGGAAGCTGATGCAAGTGGACAGAGCCTGCCCTTCTGTGGCTGACCACTGGGTGCCACTCTGACCTCATCATGGGACACTGGGTTGATAAACTGGCTGGAGCCAGTCCTGCCCCCAATTCTGGGGTTCAGGGAGACCTTGCTGGGAGGTCAGGGTCCTGGAGACTGTGGGGAGACCCTCACACTGGGTCGTCCTACTTTGTCCCTCTGAGGCTGGGAGGGTGGGTCACAGACCCTGCCGAGCAGGGGAGGTCAGGGGTTTGGCCACCAACCACAAGCCAGGATCCGGGGAGAGCTGCTTCCAAGATGTGACAGGGTCAGCCCTGCTGGACCTGCCACCCAGACCTCTCCGGACCACTCCTGTCCTGGGGGCAGCAGGGACCCCCTTCTGCAGCACCTGGTCCACACGAGCTGCTTTGTCCCAGACAGGGACGCTGCAGGGCCCAGGAGAGCAGGACACACCCACCCAAGGCCCAGCCAGCGTCGGCTCCCAGGCGGCCTCCCCGCGCAGCCTGGCTCAGGGGACCTCCGTCACCTGGTGGCCCGAGGCAGAGGTCAAGGCCGGCCCAGACACCCCCTGGACAGAGGGGACACACTTGGCCAGCAGCTCCATGCTGGGCCTGCCCCACCACACCCAAGGCTCCCACCCACCACCCAGAGGCCTTCTGTGACCATCTGCCCCCATGGGCCCTGAAGGTCTCTGGACCCCCTCAACCTCTCCGCGGCCAACAGCAGTCCCCTCAGACCCTGTCGCCTGCCCCAGGACCCCTGAGGTAGCAGCCATTTCTACCCGCTGGTGAGGAAGCAGTCAGCCAGGTGAGGGCCACTGTGCTCCTGCCGGGTCTTCGCCTAACGGGGCATCTGGGAGGACTGCCCGGAGGCGGTGGGAGCCCGAGGGCCTGGAAAGACAGCAGATGCGGCCTGGGCGTCCCCCTCAGGGCTCCAGACCCACTCCCACACCCACTCCTGAGGCAGAGAGGGGCCTGGGCAGCCAGGACAGGGACAGGCAGGGCCAGGGGACAGAGGGCAGGTCAGCAGCAAATCCTGTGGTGAAGACCCACACAGAGGGTGGCACACCCATGGCCATGCCCACCTGCAGCCCTGCGTGGATGCCTATGGGTGTGTGTGTGTGTGTGTGTGTGCGCAAGTGCAGGTGTTGCACAGAGAACGCCCGTTACCACGGTGACCACCTCCTGTCTCCACCTGGTACCGAGCTTCCTCAGTGTGCCCCTCCACCCACCTCTGCTGCGCGGGACAGGCTGGCCGACTGAGTCCCCTTGGTGGCCTTAGGGCTGGGGCTGATGGCAGCAGGCAGGTGCCCTCACCCCGGAGGAGCCCCAAGAAGCCCGTGCTGGGCCTCCGCCTCCGTCACCAGGCCCTTACGTCCTACAGAGGCCCACCATGGGGGCCCTGCTGACCTCCAGGGGTGGCAGGGTGGGGGGCACTCACAGCTGGACCAAGCAGCCACGGAGGGCAGGCAGACGGGCGCCGACTGCTCTCCCCTGTTGCCCAGTGCCCACGTCCCTGAAGTCGGATGTGTGGGTGGGGGATGGCCAGAGGGGCTGGCCAGAGCAAGCAGGGGACCCCGGGGGCATCTGCTCCCGAGACAGCAGAGACTACGGCCTCCACGGTGGCTTCAACCCCAGAACCCTCCTGCAGACTCACTGCCACACGGTTTGCAGACGAGGACACAGAGGCCCAGGTCAACAGAGGCCACTCCCTTCCCCCCACAGCCACAGGTGCCCCCAGGGAGAGCTGGTTCCCAGGCTGCAGGCTGGCTGGGCCCAGGTCCCCTGCTCTGGGCACCTGACACCCTCGACTGAGGCTCCAGAGCACCCATTGTGCTGCCCAGCTGTCTGCCCACAGGCATCGGCTCTTGGGACAGAAAAGGACCCGAGGGCCAGGCACACCTGCCCAGGTGACAGGCTCGCGCTTGCCCACATGTGCCCACATGTGCCCACACAACCACACTGCGAACACACGGGCAGACATGAGCACACTGGCCCACACAGGAGTGTGCTCACAGACGGATGCACACTTGCCACACACGTACCCACGTGTCCACATGCACACACCCACACCAGGTGCACACACACCCCTCTGTCCCCCAAAGCCGGCTCCGTCCTCCCCAATTCCCAAGTAAGAAAACCAAGGCTCGGGGCGTTGCAAAGGCGCCTGCAGAGTGGCCACGGCCGGCAGCCCCTGACTGCTCTCCACCACCAGGAGGCGGGAGGCCAGCACCCCCAGGCCATGCCTGCCCCAAGTCAGGGGGGTGGGGGCTCTGCTCAGGGCCCTCCCTTCTTCCCCTCTCGCAACCTCAGCGCTTGGCCAGGTGACCACTGGTCCAGGTCACCTCCTGGTGGTCTGGGAGCCACCCATCATCATGTTGACTGACAGGGGAAGGAAACCGTGGGACCCGAGGGGACAGGCCCTGGACAGAACCTGGGGTCTGGCCTTTTACGGGGCCTTCTCAGGCAGCTGCACAGAAGCCAGGGCAGGGGACAGAGATGGGGACAGGAAGCCTGGGCTGAGGGTGTGGAGGGAGGGCGCAGAGGTGGCAGGCGGGAGGGTCAGTGACTTACCAAATAAGTCACTATATAGCTGGTCAGAGGGGCCAGCCTGTCCCTGTTGGGGAAGGGCATCCAGACATGGACAGGGCAGCAGAGGGGGCCCAGGGTAAGGGCGGGAGCTGGAGGTGTCCATGAGTCCAAGTTATGAAGCACTAGATGCTCAGGGACTCCCACTGGCCCAGAGGGGGCACCCGGTACCTGTGTCCACTGACCTCCTCCCTCTGTCCACCAGGGCCTGGGAGCAGAGATTCCCTAAGCCACGCCTCTCCCAACTGTTCCCAGGGTGGGCTGCCCCCTGATACACCCAGACAGCCTCCCTCATCCCAGGACCTCATGCCCAGGGACACAAAAGGCACATGTGGTTTGTTGGAACAAACATCGTTGACCGATGCCCTCCAGCGGCTTCTCCCAAACTCCCCAGCCTTGCAGGCCCCCAATCCTCAGTCCCACGCCAACCTGCGCTGAAAGGCCCCTTCAAATCAGACCCCTGCACTGGCACCCCAACAGCCCCTGGCCCTCCACAGCAGCTCCATGTCACCAACAGCTTGGCTGGGGCTGCTTTGGGGACCCATGGTCAGCAGCAGCAATATCCATGTGGGTGCGCAGGCCTCGGCTTCCCAAGACCACCGCCCACAGGTAGGGGACACTCCAAGATGCGGCCCAGAAGACCTCTGGATCAGCCACGTCCGCTGCACCCAACCCTGCCACCTCTCAGACCCGAGGGTGGCGGCTCCCTCCCCCCTCCCCTCTGCTGGCCTCCACCAGGGCGGATGGCCCTCCGCCCCACTTCCTGCTGTTGGCATCAGCACCAGGCCACGGCGGTCACTCCCAGGTCTGCTGGCTGTGCCGGTGTCTCTGTTACCTTGAGTCTCGCTCCACCCAGATTTGGGCAGAAAGATGGCCCCAGAGCTGTCCACCTCCTGATCCCCAGGACTTGGGACTTGGCAGACATGACCAGGAAGGGCCTGAGATGGGACAGCAGCCTGGGTTACCAGGACAGCCCAGGGCCACTACGAGAGTCCCTGGCTGGGAGGCCGGGGTCACAGAGGTGTGACAGGGCAGCAGAGTCACCATGCTCAGAGGGGCCCTGACATGGGGACCCTAACACCAAGAAGACAAGAGTAGCTTCTCCCTGAGCCTCAGGAGCCAGCCCTCCAAAGCCTCCATTTTAACCAACAAAATTAGGACTTAAAACCAGTACCACTTAAACCCTCCACAGCCACGGGACCAAGACTCGCCCACCACCCAGGGCCCAGCAGAGCCCTCACGGGACCCCTGCAGCCCCCACTGTGAGCCTGGCTGAGTCTGACCCTGCGGCCTGGTGTGGCCCTGCCTGCGAGCTCCGCCCTTCCAGGTAGGGCCCTACTTCACCTGTGTGGCCCTGCCCTGCCCTGCTGAGTAGCCCAGAGTCCAGGGTGGCTGAGGTCAGCAGGCCACCTGGCCCAGGCTCTGTGTGATCCCACTGCAGGCCAGCTACCGGGTCATCTGTGTGACCCCCAGTCTCCACCAGGGGGCACTCTCTGGCCACTTCACACGCGCACGAGGTCCAGCAAGGCCAGGGCCTCCCAGGAGCACGGCAGGTAAGGAGGGCCTGGGGACCAGGTGCTTGAGGGGGCACAGATTGGGGACCCAAGTTTGAGGGCTGCAGACCCCCAGTCCTGGCACACAGCCCTTACCAGGAGGGGCTGCTGGGTTTGCTCAGCCCTGCTCAGCGGGGGCCACCACCTGGCTCTGCCTGCCCTGCCAGGGGATCCCAGGCCTCCCTGGCCTGTCACATCTGCTCCAGGACAAACCCTCCAAGGCTGTCACCAACAGACCCTGAGCCTGTTCCCAGACACTGCCCTCCACGCAGAGACGAAGGCCAGAAAGCCCGCAGGGCCCAGCAGAGGCCGCCTCCTGGGGCTCTGGGGAGCCGCAGCAGCTCCCGGGCCTCGGGCGTCCTGGATGCACCACTTGGCCACGCCCAGGGCCCTGACCACACTCATCACACCCAGCTCTGGAAGGGGCTGTCAGGGTCAGGGGTCAGGGGCTTTCTAACAAGGAGACCTCTCCACCACCAAGCAAGCCCCGTGGGCCCTGGGGGGCTGGGGTCCTGCCCTGCTCTGCACCTTCTGGGGTCTTCTCAGAAGATAGGTGCTGGAGGCCCACAGCGGCCCCACACTGGGTCTCTGCCCCCTGCTGCCCTCTGCAGGACAGACTGGGACAGCATCCACAGGCAGGGATCTGTCTGCCTAGGGCCCAAACCTTGAGCCCCAAGAAGGACAATGGACTGTGAGTGTAGTGACCTGGGCCCCAAGGCCCCAAGGCACAGGCCCCGCTTCCACGGAAGGATGAGCCAGACACACTTGCTTATAACTGGCCTGAGGTTATAACTGGTGGCTGAGGTCAGCAGGCGCCTGGCCCAAGCTCTGTGTGATCCCACTGTAGGCCCAACTACCCGGTCATCTGTGTGACCCCCAGTCTCCACAGGTTGTACGTCCCCCAGCCATCGGCCATCTGAGCATGTCTTCCCACCTGGCCCCGGTAACACTGACCTCCTGCCTTGGGTGGAGGTCAGACAGAGGAACTGTCCCCAGCACGGGACAGCAGACGGGGGCAGCAGGTGCTCTGAGCCCTCTGCCAGGCAGAGCCCCTGAGGCATGACGGGACACAGTGGTGGACCTGCTGCCCTAGACACAGTGCTCATCCTCTGGGCTGAGGCCGAGGCTCCACCCTGCAGCACCGGAGCCCCAAGGCCTGGCAGCCAGCTCGCTGGAGACTCAGAGGGTGGACACAGCCACTTGCCAGCTCCTGCGCCGGGGCCTCTTTCTGCACCCCCAGTCCCAGGAGCCAGGGACACGGAACACTGCTGGCTCTCGAGGACAAGGGCACTCACAGCCCGCTCCATCCTGGCCCCAGACCCCTCCCCCCTGGGAAGGCCCTGCCGATGTCGTAGTGTGACCAGTCCTGAGACCGAAGCCCAGAGTGGGTTGGGGAGTGCCCTGGCCGAGGCCGAGGTGGACCCACTGCTGGAGCCCTCAGCCCCTCTGGACACACCACTTGGCCACGCCCAGGGCCCTGACCACACCCATCACACCCAGCTCTGGAAGGGGCTGTCAGGGTCAGGGGTCAGGGGTCTTTCTAACAAGGAGACCTCTCTAGGAAGCCCTGGCCGCAGTGGCCTGCCCACCTCCCAGGCCGAATCTCAGGAACCCACAGGGCCAACAGGCCTCGCCTGCCTGCTCAGCCAGGGTCCTGCTCCATGTGACTGTCCCCAGGACCCACACAGCTGCTCTGGGAGCTGGAAGGTTCTCCGCATGGGGTCCATGTCCACTCCCCCAGGCCCCTGCTGCTGGCCAGCTGTGCACGTCCTCAGCCCCTCCTCAGCACCCAGAAATAGCTCCTCACACCCTGGGAGCCCTCCCTCCCCACTGACCCAGCAAGAGGGTGGACAACACAACCAAGGGACAGTGCCTGTGGGTAGACAGGCTCAAGGAGGGCTGGTGACCTGGGGAAGCCCCAGGCCTCCCTGGGAGCAGGGGCGTGTCCCCGGGCCACCCCAGGCCGTCTCTGCTAACACTTCCTGATCGTGGAAGCTTCTGTTTGTTTGGTAAGAGTGACACAGTCCTCTGTGGGGACCTGCAGAGACCCGTGCCTCCCGAGAGGGCCCCAGAGTCAGCTGTGTTTGCGCCCACTGCAAACGACGCCGTGGACAGAGCCCTGGGGGGGCTGGAAGGCTTGGGAAGGAGGGAGCAGAGGACGCTGGCCTTTCCAGGCCACCTCAGCAAAGGCCACGAGGACCCGGCGTGCTGTGCTGGGCACACACCGTCCTGCCGCACCTCCACCGAGTAGCCACCTCCACCAGTGGCTCTGGGGTGTCCCTGTCGAGTTTCAGCATCTTAAAATGGGTCAACACTGTCTCTGTCTTTGGACTCTGTGGTGCTGGGGACAGAAGCAGGGCCTGGCTCTGCCGCTGACCTCACCCAGCCCCCCGGGGGCTCCACCACTGAGTCATGCCCTGGCCCTGTCGACTGATATTTTGAGACAGGGTCTCACTAGCCTTGAACTCGGACTCCTCCTGCCTCAGCTGTGGGAGGACCTGGGATCGTGCACCACTGTGCCCAGCTCAACCGAGGATTTTAAGCTAAAAAATGCTGGAAGGATTCACAAGAGAAAAGATTGAAGGGTTTGGCCACGTCGGAACTAGTGACGGGCCTGAGTGCGTGGCCCCACCACGGTGGCAGCTACTCCTCGGGAGGCTGAGGCAGCGGAACACAGCTGGGGGCCATCGACAGCTGGGGGCCTGTCTCGAAAGGTTACGTGCATGAGCAGAAAGGGCTGAGGGCCGCCCAGCGGGAGGGCGCCTGCCCACCCGGCCTCAGGTCTAGCAGCCAGTACCGCAGTCAAATAATGAGTCTGAGGGGTCACAGCCCCGAGTTGGGGGCTGGGTTGTGGCTCAGAGTGGCTCAGGGTGGCAGGTGTGAGCCCCGGGTTCCATCCCCAGATCCCCAGAGAACTAAAATACACAAAATAAAGGTTTTGTGTCCCTCGACTAAACACACGTATACATACTTAAAAAGCCCCCAAGTTAAAGGCACCCAGCACAGCCGCCAAAATGACTTCAGGTAAGCGTGTCCAAGAGCTGAGGCCACCTCACACCCAGCACAACCAGCAAGGCGCCACTCGGCACCCCAGGACCCCGCGCACCGAGGGCAAGCTCGTCACCAGTGAGGACATGCAAGTCCTCAACCCCAAGGAGGTGCCCAGTCCCTTCATGATCAGAGACGTCAGACATGCCAAACCAGGCCAGTGACCAGCAGTCGCGCCCACGGGAGGAGCCAGGGCAGAAATGAGTGAGAGGCACAGGAGCGAGCCACCCCGGCCACCCCGGCCACCGGGCCCACGGGGATGGCCGTGGCTCTTTCTGAAGGAAAGAGGACGAGGCTCGGGGGGGGGATGATGGGCACCAGGCCTCTGCACGGCGGAGACACCCAGGACAGCCGAGCATGGGCTCCGTGCAGCGCCTGAGGCCGTGCCACGCAGGCTGTCCACAGAGGCCACGGAGGCCAGGGGCTGGGGTTGGAGAAGGATGGGGCCCCCGGTGACAGGAACTTTCTGGAACCACAGGTGGTGGCTATGCCCCTGCAAACACCCCAGTGCCGCTGACTTGCCCACGAGGGAGGGTGGAGTCTGTGGCCTCACCTTAGCACGTCCCCATGGTGAACGGTGACACCCAGTGCCCACGCCATCCACAGGAAGCTGTGGCCAGCCCAGACCATCCCAACTGGCCCCACGCGTGTGGCAGGGCCACAGGCCCTGGGCACCTCCCCGGCCGGCCAGTCATTGGCCCCCGGGAGCTCCGGCTCTCCCCCACACCAGGTCTCCTCCGGCCCTGGTGTCCTTAGCTCCTACCCAGAGGACACCCAAACCCTCCTGGAACAGGGGCCACAGTCACAACAGACTTCTGTCCTGGAGACCCCTCCCTGGGCCCCACCTTGGCCAGACCCCACTGCAGCTCACCCCAGGGTCAGTCAGGCACTGTGGGTCCCTGAGAACAGCGTGGCCATCCTGGACACTCAGCCCCTTCCACCACCACCTGAGGTGAGCCACGGTGGCCACCAGTGGCTGGACAGGTCCGGATGGGGCGTCGGGACCTCCCGGTGCCAGGCCCACACCCGCCTGGTGATGCAAATGGGATCTCGCTCAGGAAGGAACTGGCGCAACCCGGGTGCTGAGCTGAGGCGGCCACAGGCACCCGAGGGGCGGGCTGCACTCCCAGGTCAGGGGCAGTGCCCCGGGGAGCCTGGGGTCTCCAGGATGCCACAGATGCCCCCTTCCAGCTCCCACAGAGTAAGTAGCAGGGTTCTGGGGTTCCCACAGCAGGCCAGGGGAGAAGGTCAGTGCCCTGTCCCCCCTGGGCCATTGGAGGGCAGGCAGAGCTGTGGGGCAGCGGCTTGGTTTCTGAGAAAGTGCACCAAGGCCCAGACCCGAGGCTCCTTCCAGAATGAACAGAACTCCCCAGAAAGGGGACAGTCCTGTTCCCAGGTGGAGACAGGGAAGAGGGCTGGCACGCGTGTGGCAGGGCCACAGGTCCCGGGCACCTCCCCGGCCGGCCAGTCATCTAGGCCCTCTTCCCGAAGCTCCCAGGACCAAGGTTATGTCCAGCCTTGGTGGACACCTCCACACCAAGAGCTTCCAGACGGCCCGGAGCCCCAGGAGCCCACCACTAGAAGCTGGGCGCTGGGCAGGCGGCCACCAGATTCCATGGAGCCTCCAGCAGGTGAGAGGCAGCCCGAGGGGCACCGAGGGAGGAGACAGCACCCTGAAGGCCCCAAAGGCCCAGGACTCGGCCCTGCCCGCCCGACCTTCCCAATCCCCTCAGCCCCAGAGCCTGGACAGCCTCCCCTGGGCAGGACACGGAGTCAGTAGACGTTCAGCCAAGAGATGTGTGACCTACAGTGACAAACTCAGGGTCCTGCAGGTGCCATCCTGCTAAGGGCCACCAGGACTTAGTTGCCTGGCCAGGGGTTTGAGGCTCCCGTGATGTCCAGACAACTGGGTGCTGTGCCCACTGCCCTGCCAGCAGGGGAGACCCACTGAGGTGGACGTAGCCAGGGCAGGCCATGGGCCTGAGTAGCTGCGGGCTCAGCCTGTGGGCAGGTGGACAGCAGAAATGGAGGTGGCCCACTCCCAGACCCCAGGTCCAGCTCCAGGAGGGCCCCACGGTTGACCAGATTGGTGTCAGCTCCTCCATCGTCACCCTGGGCCAGGGGCAAGAATGTCACCTACACCAAACGCCAGTGAGGAGCCGAGGAAGGGGGGCCCAGGCCAAAGAGGAGCTGGGCACACGCTTTCCACAGCCAGCCCCACATACACCCACGCACACGCATCCCCACATCCCGACACACCTGTGCCCTCCCACGAACACACAGCTGCACACACCCACGCACACACACCCACCCCGACAGACACGGTGTGCACACAGGCATGAACGTGTCCACCTGTGTGCGCCTGCACGCACCTGGCACACAGGATCTGCACGCTCACACACGCCCACCCCGCAGCACACACGGCAGTTCTCAGGGCAGTCTGTCCTGGGCCCACAGGGTCCCGCATCTCCCGGGACCCGAAGGCTGCTGCCCGGCCCTGGACAGGCCACCCTGCGTTGGCGGCTGGAGAGGCCTAGGGACAGCAGGAAGCTCTGCCAGAGCGGCCAGAGCGACAGCCCTGTGCTGACCACACCAAGTCCTGCCTGGTGTCCTCCCTCCAACGCCCCACCATGCTCCCTGACCCCCCAGGCCCTCTGAGGCCCGTCCAAGGGTGGGGTGGTGCCGGACAGGAAGCCCCAGGGCAGCCAGCTCACTGGGGAGGCAAGGTCAGGGCCACCCAGAGTCCCCCGCTCCCTCCCTGAAGTGCCCTGCTGCACACGCCATCGTCCTCTCTGCACAAGTGTCATCTCACCGCGGCCCCCGCCTCGGCCTGCCGACACACATCCCTCGGCCCAGACTCTGGCCACCTCGGGCCCCCAGCCCTGACACAGCACCTGGGCAGAAGCCGAGGGCTGCGGAGGAAGCCACAGGTCCTGGCCAGACCCCCGAGTACCGGGACGCACGCCGGTGAAGTTGTTTTTAGCCACAACCGGTAGGACTGCGTGTCAGGAAGAAAAGCAAGACCCAGAGGGACGTCCTGGGTCCAGAGCAGCTGGACGAGGTGCCGTCCTCGCTGGGACCCCACGGGACGGAGAGCAAGACCGGAGGCCCCGGGGGCTTAGAAGCAGGGACCAGGCCAGGCCAGGCCTGCATGTCCACACAGAGTCCCAGCACGATCACCCTCCAGCCAGTCACCCCAGAGGCAGGAACTGTGCTCAGGAATGACAGCCTTGGGCCAGAGAGACTCCGGCAGCTCTGGGCGAGCAAGGCCTGGGGCCGTGGTGAGCCCAGGAGGGGTGGGCGGCTCCCCTGGCATGAGTGGCCCACAGCGTCCTGTCTGGCCGGAGCAGAGGCTGCCAGACGTCAGTGCTGTGCACAGAGCAAGCAGGAAGCCTCCGACAGTCTGGGAAGAGGACTCCGCCTGGCCAGTGGGCCCTGGGACAGGCACGAAAGGCCGGCAGGCATCGGGGAAATGCAAGCGAGGCCGCCGAGGGCTAGGTGCACCCCAGGAGGCTGGGGTTAGCACTCACGGCTGGCGGGGTGAGGGGATGGGCATGGGGTGCCATGGCTGCAGGCACGGGGCTTTTATTAGGGGAACAGGAGAGTCCCAAGCTGACGGTGGCGGTGGCTGCGTGACCGTGAACACTAAAAGCCACAGATCCTACCCTCCACGTGGAGGGACCTCAGAAAAGGGAAGGAGGGAGGGCAGGAGGAGGCCCACCAGAATGCTCAGGAGGGCAGCCCAAGTCGGGCAGAACTGAACACTGGCCCCACGGAGCTGACCACCACTCGCATGGTGGAATAGCCTTCATTAGAGGGCAGACCTAATGAAGACCCTCGGCCTGCAGAGCCCAGGGACAGCAGCCTGGGGACAGGGCCAAGAGGGCGGCTGGCAGGGGACTGTCACGAGATGGGACACCCACTGAGCCGCACACTGGGGACGGAGCCCATCTGTGTGTGTGCAGGTTGACTAGGAAATGGGGCACCAGAGGACATCCCGCCCCCAGCAAGCCTGACCGGAACCGTGGACACTCCACAGAAAGGAAACCCAGCCGATGGCCAGAGCCAAGCCACTGCTCCACCTGTCTGCCCGCCGGATGCCCCTCCTGCTGGCCCTGGGCTGGGCCCCATGGGGGCAGGAGCCGGCAGCTGCAGACGCCAGGCCCCTCCTTCAGTCCACGGAGAGTGCAGGACAGCAGGCTGCGCGCACAGCCAGAGGGGACCTAGGAGCAAGCCAAGACAGCGTCCTGGACGCCACCCCTGGCCTTGAAGTACAGCCTCAGGGCACAGGTGGCCTGGGCCAGCTCTGGGACCCAGGTCCCCTATCCCTCACCACAGCAAGCCTGAGGCCATCTGCCTGCTGCCCTGCGCCCAAGTGGTGGGGAGGAGAGGCCCCCAGGGCCCCGCGGGTGGATGGAGCTGGACTGCCCTCCCCGGGGCAGGCGAGGAAGGCCACAGCACCACCCTCCCAGGGTGGGCAGGCCTTCAACCCCACCTGCCTCCCACGTCCCTTACCACCTGTGACAGGTGACCCCACTGCCCAGAAGCCCCCCTGCAGAGGCTCTGCCCATGCTAGGTGTGGCCACATCCTCTGGCAGGGTCCTTGTCCCCGCAGAGGCCTGGCATCAGCGTCCTGCCCGCCCCAGGCTGGCACGGCGGAGCAGCCTCACCACCCCACCTACCAGACTCCAGCCCGTGGCTCCTGGTGGCTCCGGCTGCGGCTCCACCCCAGAGCGTGGCCCAGGAGCAGCAGCCCACCCTCACCTGCCCCCGCGGCCCCGGGCCCCAACCCAGGCCCTGGAGGAGGCAGGGTAAGCCGCGTGACAAGCCTGCTGTGACAGTCCTCAGGCGACCGTGGCCCAGACAGGCGGCCTGGGAACTGGCTCCGGCCCCTGTCCGCTGCCCTCATTTCCTCTGCCGGCTTCCTCTGCTGGGGGTGGGGAGGCCGTGGCCGCCGGTCCTGCCGCTGCTGGTTCTCAGTGACAGCAGGCGGGGCCAGACGCTGAAGCCCTCCCAGCACCGTGGCCCTGGGGGGGGGTGACGCGAGTCTCTCCACCAAGGACCCACCTGGGGACAGGACGGAGCGACCCAAGGCTCCGGGCAGCAGGCCAAGCTCCCTTGAGGTGAGCTGCCCAGACTCCCACCCACCAGGGCAAGGCTGGGTTGGCTCCCTCAGGCCCACCTGGTCCTGCCCCCAGGGCCAGCCTCTAAGAGGGACAGGCCTCCTCAGAGCCCAGGAGGGCCTGGCAGGGGGCTGGGAAGAGCTCCCCCAGCAGGACAGGTGTTGGGGACAGCCATGCCCCAGACACATCCCTGCTCAGCTCCATGCCACGTCCGAGCATACCAGGTGGGTTGTGGACCCCCCACCCCTGCCGTACCCAGCAGGGCAAGTGGCTCCGGGGGCCTCCTGGCCTGCACCCCTTCACACTGGGGTCAGGTCAGCCACCTCCCCTTGCTCTACTGCATGGATGTCCCTTTCCAGGGGGGGGGGGGTCACAACTCTCTGTACAGGGAGGAGGCTGCGGCCAGCCTGAGGCTGAAGCTGGGCGGGCTGCAGGCAAGGCCGTCAGCTCTGGCCCCAGAGGGACCAGGGGGACAGTCTGCACAGTGTCCTGGGGCTGCCTAGCAAAGTGCCAAGACTGATTCCCCCGGTTCTGGAGGCCAGAGGTCAGGTCCAGGAGCCCGCAGGGCCACGCTTGCCCAGCAAAGTCCAGGGGAGGGTCCTCGCCTCCCGTCCCTGCCTCTGTCCTCTTGTGGCCGTCTTTCTGCCAGTGTCTGTGCTCCCTCTTCAGGTGGCCCCCCGCCTGGCCTGGCCTCGTCCTCACACATTCCGTCTCCATGAGCTAGTTCCCATGTGGCCCCCTCCGAGGTCCTGGGTGGGCACAAATCTGGGTGACACCCTTCCACCAGCCTACACCTCCAGAGGAGCCCTGGGGAGGGACGGCGGCATCCAGGGACCAGGCTCCCAGGCCACAGGCGAGTGAGGGGACTCAGAGTCTCGGGAGCCACCCCACCGCAGGGGCTGCCGAATCTCACCAGACACTCACTCGTCCACAGTCACGCAGTCCACGCAGGCGGTCAGGGCTGGGGCACAGCGTGGGGGTCTGTGCACCCTGAAATGCACAGAGGCACAAGGCAGAGCCTGCCTACACGTTTCAAGTCACAGCCACCACAGGTCCAGCCAGGCCATCTGGGGGACTCAGGCCCACGCCAAAGCCAGCAGCACCGGCCGGCCCAGTTCAAGTCACCCGAGAGAGGGTCTGGCCTGGGAAGGTCCAGGGAAGGCGGCTCCAAGCCTGGGCTCTGACCACAGAAGCCACAGGTACAGACGGCGGAGGGCGTCCACTGCCCCTGCGTGTGCCCAGGTGCGGGTGTGCGCGTCAGGTGTGTGTGGGATCAGTGGGCGTGAGGCACAGGGGCGCATGTGTGTACGTGTTCACGGGTGCATGAGCCCGCAGGGGCAGGTGGGTGGCTGGGCCCCGGGCAGGGTGGGAGCAGGTAGAGCCCCTCTGGGGGAAGGGCACACCCCACTTCCTGGAGAATGTGCCAGAAGGGAGAGAAGGGGTTTCCCTCCCTGCCCAGGGCCTGGGACCTCACTTCTCCTCCCTGGGCCTCATGAGCTCCCTCCTGGGCTCCCAGACCCGTCCCCCGCACGGCCAGGGCTCCTGTCCCCAGGAGACGCTCTGCCCTCACCAAGCCCCACAGCCCCAGGCTGCAGGAGGCGGGGTCACGGCTTTCTGGTTTCCAGGGCCCATCTGTGAGCCAGGAAGCAGGACTGGGATAACACCCGGCTGTCCCAGGGCACCTTCTCGGGCCCTTGAGCCCCCTGAGTCCCTCACCCCTGTGCTGCTCGACCAGGCCTGGTCTGGGCCTCGGCCTCCTCTGCTGCATGGTCACTGTGGGCCCTGGTGCGCCTGGCTGTGTGCCTGGCCACACATGGGCCTGGGAGGAGCCACTGTCCTGGTGAGGCTGGGCCTCCCCAGAGAGGAGGATGTGAGCCGAGGGGCTGGAGGATGGGGTGGGAAGTGGGGAAGGTGCTGGCCCAGCTGCCCTGTCCTCCACGAGTCTCCACACACTCCAAGTGCTGCCGACTGGTCCAAGACACTGACCAGGGACAGCCTTGACAAACACAGTGCTCCACAGCAGGGAGGATACCACAGCCCCCAGCTTAGAGATCGGGAAACGGAGGCACAGGCAGGGCCAGGTGCACAGGAGGGGGCTGGTGAGCACACTCTGGGCAGCCTGGCCCAGCGCTGCCCGAGCCGTGCCCGGAGGCCTGGGGGCGATGCACTGCCACCCAGCGCTGCCAGCACCTAGGACAGCTCCAGGCCCAGGAACCACAGCACCCTGATGGAGGCCTGAACCAGCAGGAACCCACGGAGGCCCCCGGTCATCCAGAGGCTGGGAGTGAGAAACGGGTCACCCCTGCCCTGGGGCACCCGGCAGGAGCAGTAACCCCACCCCTCAAGGTCAATCACTACCTCCTTCCCAGCCCCCTCCAGCTGCCCCTGTTCCCCTAAGACAATCCCCTCACCCTTCATTTCTTGGTTTCCATTCTCTGCCCACCTGGTCTACCCAGGAAAAGGCTTCACCTGTGCAGAGCTGATCTCAGAGAGGCTGGGTGATTGGCCCAAGACCACACAGCATAAAAGCCACCTGACTGCAACTGCCATGGAACGTTCCCCAGTCACCCATGTCTTGGGTGTCAGGAAGCCAGGGAAGAGCCAGACCCAGATGAGCAACTCTTCCTGGGCTCCCCTGCGCTGGCCCATATCACCCCAGGAGTGAGCATCCAGGCCTGTCCCCTAAGCACCCTGTCCTGCCCAGTATGGCTGGTGGGGGTGGAGGGGGCCCAGGCAGACCCCAGCAAGTGCCAACGGCCTCCACCTCCAGCCCAGCTTCTGCAGTCTCAGACACATCTGCCCACACCACCTGTCCCATCAGACTGCCGTCACCTCCGTGCAGACCAGGACCAACTCCTGTGATGGACCAAGAGCTGGTCATGGGCACAGGGCATAGGCTGGAGACCATCAAGACCCTGTGCCTGGCGCTGCAGTGACCAGTGAGTGACCCATAAACAAACTGCAACCATTGACAACATGAGCCCCCTCTTCCCTGGGTTCTGCTGGCCCCAGAGGACCACCCACAGATGCCAGCTGAGCTCAGAAAGGACCATCTCTCTCTCCATTATGGAGCCACTGTGGTCACAGGGAGCCACTGTGGTCACAGGGAGCCTCAGGCACCAGGCTGTGCCCCAAGACTGTCTGGTGTACCTGCATGCCTCCAGAGCAGAGACTGCCAAGCAGCAAGCAATACACCCCCCCCCAACCCAGGCTCCAGCACTGTCCCATTGGACAGACGGGAAAATGGAAGCCCAGAGAGTCAGGGAAGGACAGAGGAATCTCAGTGGGGGACAGCAGGTTCTGGATGCTGGGCTAAGTACAGCCAGAGGCTCCTGCCTCTCCTTCCCCACACACGGAGCCCTCTGGGCCTGTGGGTTACCCCTGCAGGAGCACTCTCTCCCATCCCTTCACCTCCTGGGTAGCCCCAGGACAGGTGCGGTGCCGGGGTACAGTCGTGGCGGGGCTCTCTCCCTCCTCCCAGCAGCTTTCTTCCCTCCTAGGTCATTAAAAGGACACGTTGTAATGACACTGATCACAGCTGCCCACCAAGTCTATGCCCATGCTCAGAGCTGCTGTTCCCCTACGGTGGGGAGGGTCTCTCTTGCCCTGGACACCTGGTTCAGGGTCAGGGTGCAAAGACCCCACCAGGAGAAGTCTGCACCCAACAGAGAGAGCCAGACTGAGATGGGCTGAAGGGCTCCTCCCTCCTGGGTCAGTCCTGGCGTCCACCTCCACTCCCCAGCAGTCCCAAGGCCGCCCATGTGAGCCTGGACCTGCTTCCCGGCAGGAAGACCCAGGCTTGCTGGACAACGTCTGGCATGGCTGGGGACCTCCCCAGCCCACGGCCAGCTCCCAGCTCCTGGATGCTGGTGTGTGGCCTGGGGAGGCTCAGCCCCTACCTCAGCCCACCAGTTACTGCTGCTGCTGCTGGGCTCTGAGCCATCTGATGATGGTGGCACTGTGGTCTCTGAGCCCCTCAGGTCACCCCAGGAAGTCATTTCCAAGCAAGTGATACCCATGGCCTTTAGCCAAGCAGACAGCCCTCCCCCAGGAACAAATGCCTTCAGACCTGGTCTGCCCAGGGGACCCCGTGCATCACTGCCCATGCTGGCCCCCCTCCAGGGAGGAGACCCAGGAGAGCCATCATGTGCAAGCCTGGCTTTGTTTGGGCTGCATCAGCTCGTGCCAGAGCCCCAGGGACGTGGAGGTAGGACTCAAGGCCCCTGGGCAGGGGCTTATCCCCCACTTGGGCTCAGAGGGGCTGGGAGCTAGAGACAGCAGAGGAAAAGCCACCTCCTAGCCACACCTGGGACTGCCCGCTGTCCACCCCCTCTGCCCACCCAGCTGCCACACCATAGCCCAGCAGCCACCGGTAAACATGTCACTGCTGGGTCCACGGGGTGGGGGTGGGGCCTGGACCTAGTCCTGGGCAGCCAGCTTGACAGCCCCACCTCTGCTTCACCTGCTGCCCAGGGCCTGGGCCCCACCAAGGCCCACTCTCAGCCTCCACCTGGTAGGCCAGCCACCACCTCCCCTGACAGGGAGCCCCAGAACCAGCTCTGGGCCTGGTAAGGAGCCCCCCAACCAAGACTACAGGCCAGCAAGGGTCCACAGAAAGCCTGTGCCCCAGCCCAGATGCCACCCCCCTCCACGCACCTCCCTAAGGGCTCTGAGCCATGGCAACCTCCTCTCCTGCACACCTGGGGCCAACCTGAGCCCTCCGAGCCCTCCCCAGTTACCTGTGCTGGGGAGGCATCCCAGGGACACAGGACCCAGCCACCACTGCCAGCCCAGCTGTGCCCTGTCTGGGCCCCAGGGCCTGCCCAGTTCCACAGACCTGTAAGGGTCCTGCTAAGCTTGACCCTGCTCCTCTGTGCCGGCTCCAGGCAGAAAAGGGGTTAATTTCCATGCAAAATGGGAAACCCAGGCCGCAGCAGCACCCTGTCCGCAGTGGGAGGCAGGTGGGGGTGGGATGCAGCCAGCAGGCCCAGGGGCAGGCGCGGACTCACCGGGGTCGAAGTGCGAGCTGAAGGCAAAGCTGGGGTTGAAGAAGGAGGACGACATGGCCAGGGCCAGCAGCGCGACGGGCATCCCCCGGGCGGGCGCTGCG